ATAGCATCTATAAAGTTTAATCTCTTTTAGAAGGGATGAGACATGGGCTTCTAAATTGCTTTTATGCTTTCAGATGTGCTTATTCTAAGCGTTCAGTGCAGGAAAGGTAGATATTAAAACAGTGATAGACTTTCTCCACTACGCCTCCTAATGTTTAATAATGCCAAGAGGTGTAGTTACTGGAAGGAAGTCTGTTTAGAGGTCTGAATGTTAATGTCCTATTTGTGGAAAGTGTTTTGGCAAAAAACTCATATTTTCACTGAAGCAGTAAATGGTCTGGCAAATTAGAAAATCATTACCCTGATTACAGTAAAGGAGAAAATAGAGCAGCGATATTTTTATATTATTTAGTGTGAGTAAAAGTCTAAAGCATTTCCTGAGATCCAATGGAGCTTGCAGAAATGTAAATCACCTTTTGTTAGGAAGTCATAAAATTGTCTGGCAAATGAGCAAAGAAAAATACACTGGTGTGGGTATTTCATGTGTGCCCAGCACATTGCTGAGTTTTCTCTATAGCTTTGGGCTGTACCAGGCACGTGGGATCTGAAAGAAAGAGGCAGCGCCTGCTGCAACTCAGGCTGCATCGGCAGCGTTGGGAAGGCCCCGTGGGAAGGCCCAGTCCCTGGGCAGCCACCCAGCATGCCAAAGCCCCCTCCTTCGTCCATCGCCATGCATGACCCTGAGCAGCCCTTGCAAGGCCCTGGTGTGCAGACAATGTTTCCTTTCCAGCCTTATGCTACGGCACATGGCTTCTCACTTGTGGGGTTTATAGAAGAGGAGAGACCTTAGTCATTTAACACTGCTCTGCCTTATGCCTTTGCTTGTGGCTGGATATGGACCTTTCTTAGCTCTGCCTGGGTAATTGGGAAGTCGGCAGACTGCTGCGCAACGTATCTTCTCGGTTTGCCCAGAGATCATGTGGATGTCTCCCAGTATCTCTTATTAGGTGGATATGATTTCTCACAAAAGCAAGCTCTGGGTTTCATTGCCCTACCATCACTACAAAGTCTTAAACATCTAAGGCTAAAAGAATTTCAAAATTTACCTCAGTGGGTTTAGAAAGAATTGATCCCACCAAGCAAAGTCTACCACTGTCATTGACACAATTAAATAGTTAGGAAATAGGGATGTAGAGAATGCAGGTCACCCACGTGCACATCAGCACTTACTGAGCAATGTGACGGGCTTCAGGAGTTGCAGACCACGTCCCTGAGACAGGGAAAGGCCAGACTAGCCATACTTACTGCTTAGCCAAGACAGCACTGGGTCCTGGCTGATGTGCAGGAGTGAGGCTTTGCTTGCATGACATAAACTAATAAAGCAGTATTATCAAGTGAGGGGAGGCTTCAAGCTGTCCACAAGGCAGTTTGGACGGAACTGGGGTTAGAGATTATGAAAAAACGACTACTACAGAAGTTGAGAGATGGAGGAAAGTGTAATCTTTTATAGTCTGAGACTTAAAATGTACCGATAGGAAGACAGTATCTAGCATGAACCTCTGTGCCATTTACGAACTATGTCATTCAGGGTCCAACAGCACCGCAGTCAGGCTGAGTCTGCACAGTTCACTTGGCAGAAAGCAGCCCAGATGACGGCCTGTGGCCATGCTGTACTTGGCTGGACCCCACAGCTCTGGCTCACAGTGCCAGTCCGTGTATGCGGGCTGGGGGCCAAAGTGGGCAAAATAGAAGAGGACAAAGAAAATGGATTATTAACAAAGGTATCATTTTAACGGAGCCCACATCTGCTGCTCGTTTTTCTAATGTAGGAGCAAGTCTTGGAGTAGGGGAGGATTTAAGTGGAAAGGAAGAATAATTAGAACTTCTCTGAGACAAAAGAGAGTAACAAGAGATTGAAGACATTTAATGAGAGATGTAGACAGACTGCTAATGAATGCTTGTGAAGAATGTAAGAATGCAGTCAGTATTGGCACCGCTGATGGAAAGAAGTGCACAAGAGAGGTCCTAGATACTTATTAGCCTGATAGAAATTAAAAAAAAAACTGACTGTAGCTGATTCAGAATCAGTTAAATAGAACTTCATACTCAATCTTGTAAAGAAGAGGGAAAGCAAGGGGAGGTGGGCACCAGTTTATTCCGAACAGAGCTATACTGCTTGTACATAAATTTAATAAAATTGGTAGAATTTACATGAAGACCCATGAGAAAGCTATTTGGCCAAATCTCTACAGTAGCCAGGAAAAAGTAATACAACTGAACAACAGAAAAGGTGAATTAAGAAAACAGCTGGCATTGGTTGAATCTGGAAAGTATTTAAATGATTAAGATCAGGGAAAACAGGCAGAGTCAAAAGTTTAAAAAATTGTTGATACAAATGCAAAATTATAGAAAAATTAAATAAGAAATATAACTATGAGCAAGGTAAGCGTGATAAAATGCAGAAGAATAATGATTCAATATACTATGTTGATGCTGGGCTGCAATGGTGCAAGAGCAGCTTGTGCATTGGATCTCAATGAGTAATATAGCATCTTTGAGAGTCCATAAAATTTTGTGAAATAAAATTGTGTGCAAAGGCTATACAGATTTATGATCAGAAAACACTGAGAACAACACATACATGCAACAACTAAATCAGTGGAGCGTGGCGATTTTTAACATAGTATTTTTCCTTCCTCATAATGACTAGCCTGAGTAATTCAGCATCACGGCATCACTGAAGCTAAGAAAGAATCTAGCAAGATTTTACTATAAACAACAATCGCCAGTTATCGCAATAAATATTTTACAATGAATAAAAAACGTCTGTGCTCAAAGTTATTAGGATCAATTCTCATCAGTCATCTACAGAACACACCCAAGCATTGAATCTGGGCTGCCTTCTGAACCTGGGGTTTGTGGTGTTTTAGCCTCATCATTTCCACAAGACTTACCCTGAGAAAGGCTACCTATAGCCATCCTGCTTTCAGACAATCCTTAACATTTTTTTTTTTTTTTGAAGTGATCCCGCCCACTGCAGAAACCAGGAACCTGGATGAGGTGGACTGCGGTCTGACATATTGAGAGCAATCACATATAAAATTTAGAACTATGGAAAACTGGTGAATTTAAACTCAAATTTTTAAAGCTGTACTTGAAAACATAGGGTTAATAAACTGGTATTATTTAACATCTATTGTTAGACAGACACATTTACTAAACAGCCGTAACATCCTGCTTAGTGAGAGAGTAGGTGCTATGCTAGGCAGCAGTTGGCACAGGTAAGAAGTGCTAAATGTAAGGGTTAATAATGACGTATCTGGCACAGCAAGCTGGGTGAAAAGAATAAAGGCAGATCACATTTAAAGTCTATGCTAGTTCCATTTGCCTAAATCATCCCTATAAGAGGAAAATCTGTAGGCCTGGTGATATGCTCACAGAAGCATTACTTGAGGGTTTTTTGCCATATTCACATGAAACTCTGGTTAAAAAAAAAAAAGAACTTTTTCCCTTCAAATTTAAAGACATCTATGTCACAAATAACGTTCTCAATATTAATGGTATGAATTGCCAGAAAAAACAAAAATATTTCAGGACTTTAAATACCATGGTAAGAAAGTATTTTCCTAAGGAATAGTCAAGAAGCTTTGCTGGGATAACAGACTGAAGTGTTCTAAGTGGTATTATGTAGATGAGCTAAAGTTAATGGATTTCAAAAACTCTTTTGCAATGTCATAACTCTCACTGCCACTTGAGATCTGCGTCAGACTTTTGAACCAGGCCAGTTAATCTTAAAATATATAGTGCTAGCAGCTTAATAAAGGGACAATCATGAAACTCCTAAAATTGCCAATCATTTGGTTATCTCATATAGCATTTTGCACATTGTTTTGAAAGATCTCTTACTTTATAAAGATTACAAAATGTGCTATTCAAAGAGGCCATCTGGACAACCTAAAGAAGATTGCACCCTGCATAACAGCAATGTTTCAGAGGCTACAGGGACATCCTTTGTGCGACTTTCTTTGTTACAGAAACAGGACTCTGAAGGGGGAAGAATATGTGGGTCATGGACTATGAGTAAACAATTCATCACAACAGAGCTCTTTCTCCTTTAGGAATTTTTCTAATCACAGTCTATGCTTAGAGACTAGAGAGTTAACTATTGAAAGATACTTCTTGACAGTAAAACAAGCCTATCAAGGTGGTTACTGAACGCAGAACAGACTAATCGCTTACAGCACTGTAGTTCAGTAGACCAAGTCCCAGGCAGCTACTCTACGATTCTCAAAAATCCTCTGAATTTTGACAAGTTCATAATTTGTTCTTATCTGGTTCAAAGTCAACTTTGCAATCGGGGTTGCTTGACCCTCAGTCCCTTATCAAAAAGGGCCACAGAACTGTTCAGAAGACAACTGATGAATAGCACAGGAAACAGACTCCAAAGGAGCCCATTTTTTTCCAATCCTATACTGAACTTTAGGAGTAAAGGAAGATACAAACCAGTCCCTCCCGCAATGTAATCATTGTACAGTGAGCTCTAGATGGAAGCAGTAAGATGCAGACAGTGTAAGCACACTATTTAAGCCAGTCAGTTCATTTCCCTCAAAATGAATTGTCAGTATCCTTCTAATCTTTCCCGTGTAGTGACATCCTGTGCACTAGAAACAGTTAATACAATTGGAATAAGGAAGAGGATTTCCAATCTCATAATTCCATTTCCCAAGAAGCAAGCTACAGAAAATAGTCAGCCAAACTCTGCTAGTCTTACACATAACTTACTCTGCAAAGTGTTTTTTTTTTTCCTTCAATCTACTGCTTAAGGGGAGATGCACTATCCAGGCATAAGTTGTATAAGGATCAAACATACTTTTGAGCAGATAGCACTCACTGTATATTTAGAGCTTTTCATTTTACTAACTAGCAGAAATATCACTGCTTAAGATAGTTCTTTTCCTTTGAGCTGAATATTCCATCATTCTAAAGAGAGGGAATGGACCTGTTCATTTTAATATTCAGCAAGACAAAAGACATTCTTTAACGAAATAAAAGGACACATCCTTTATTGCAGAAACAATTTTAATAAGGTTAAAGTGTACAAAAAGGTACCAGAATGAATGCTAAAGGAAGATTAAGAAGCAATTGTGGCCTTACTGGACAATGTGTATTATATACTTCCTCATTCATTTGAGAGAACTCAGCTTTTTACAACTGTTCTATAATCATTCATCCTACACTGTTATGCTATCCCTTCTGCTGCTGCACTGAACACTAGGCTCACATGTTTCAGGAAGCTTGTACCTGGAAAAGTTTAACTTATTTTTATTTATCCACTTTATACAGTTTAACAAAACACTTCAACTTTTCTTAAAGCTTACTTGCAAGTCATGTTTTAAGGGCAATAGTCTACCACCTAGCTTTGGTAGTGGTTGATTTTTAAGAATATTTGTTATTCACACAATTTGCCTTGCGTATTTAAAATACCATCACTGAAGCAAAAGTTAATTTGTACAAAAGGACAATCAGAGAGGCTAAAAAAAGATTATTTTAGAACAGTTGTTTAAAGCCTTTACTGTATCATAGTCACTTCAAGCGTTGTGAAGCAATTTTCTACGATCTTGAGCTTTTCTTCAGAAAGCAGGTTTTCTTGCTTCAACTGTCCAATGAGAGCTTCTAAGGATCTGAGTCTCCCCAAAGTTTTTATCTCCTGCATTTCAAGTAGAGTTATCTTAGAGTGGAGCTTCGAAATTTTTTGCCAAAGGTGATCTCTGTCTATGTCTTGTTTGCAGTATGAATGTTCAGTTTGTAATACTTCAGTTCCACCATACGCATTCATATATGCAGATTTTTCTGTTTCTGTTTCTTCCGTGTCAAGAAACTCTTGCTTAATAGGCAGGAAAGAGCTGTTTACTATTTGAGGCTCTTCAGGACTCTCAGTTGGTACAATGATAGCAATGACAGATTCTTCACTTCCATTAAACTGTTCAATAGTTTGTGCGACTGTACTGACTAAAATGGCATCTTCACTTGTTGGCTGCATTTCAACAGAACAGCCTGCAATATGAGAGTTAGGATTTTCAGTTGGATAGTCAGTAATTGAAACTAAAGCATTTTTCAATTTCAGAGGTGAATTCAAGTAGTCAAGGTCTGTAAGCTGCAAGACTGTAGCTGTACAGCTTATTGGATTCTCTACAGAATTATGAACACTGGTAGATTCCATGTTCTGGACTGCTGCTGCCATTAAAATGGGAGTAGATTGATGCATATGCTGTTTAGATGAATTATTAAGGATTACACTGTCTGCTTGAAAGTCTTCCCTGTTTTGAAGTTGTAGTTTTCCCACTTGTAGAGGAAATGCAGTTGAGCAAACTACTTCTGCTTTTTCCTCTACATTTTCTGCAATTACAATATTTTTCTTTGGTGTACAAGGTTCAAGCGATACAGATACTTTATCTGACGCTACATTTGCACTTGCTTCTTCCTGGTCTTCTCTCTTTACCTCTTGTGGGTTGTGCTGAGAAGAGTTTTTTTCCTGGAGAAAAATAATGACATCTTGTAACTAGAAAAATCACTTGAACATAATAAAAGAAAAAGTACAACCTTTATTCTGTGGCACGGTACTGTGTAACTCATAATTTGGATAAGCACTGCATAAAAAAAAAACACAGAAATTTGATAAACCAAATAACTATCTTCCATAAGTTTGTCATGACCTTTGTTTCAGGTCCTACACGCTCAAATTTTATCCAGAAGCTCTAAAGACAGTAATACTATCAGTCTGGGTAACATATGCGCCTAGAGATATAAAGGAGACATAGAACTTTATGATCAAAAATAAATTATTTTGTTAATGAGTCACAATTTCAGTTTCAGTAATTTACCAACTTCATTTCGTGCATTTCTCCCACCTCCAATATTGTTCTCTTCTTGATGATCCAGTAGAAGATAACTATGTGCCAGAGGAAATTAACATAGATTTGATGAAAATTAGGTGCCTGCATGGAATCGTGCTTTTATGTAACCAGTTGTACAACTCTGAGCAAGATAAGATAGAATAGTCTTCCTGGCACACCCATTGCAGCCTACACTCCTGAGCACTTAGGTATTAGAAAGGTTAGGGACAGGAAAGAGAAATCTGTAGTTTGAAACCAAAGCATTCTATAGCCAATATTTATGCATAGTTAACAGAAGGCCTTACATGAACACTAGATTAAGAGCAGCTGCACAGGGCAAAAAAAAATTGTGTTCTCACACAAACGCTTCTGTAATTTACAGTTAAAAAAATAAAAAAATTGAACCTTCAATCAAAGAATGGAAAGTTGTTCTTCCTTCTCACTGTTTTTACACTATGCAATCACATATTCATTTAGCATCAATCTGCTGACAAAATATTTTGATAGACCAGAATTCTATTTTCAAGATAAAATATGAACATATTACAGTTAAAAGAACAGCTGTATTACATAAATAGTTGGTTAATTTATGCTACAATAAAAAAACAAAACAAAAAACAAAAAAAACAAGGTTACCTCATCATCTGGGGAAGAAAAAATTGTTGGTACAGCAGTATGTTTCAAGTATCGTATGCCCCATCGCACATCAAGGGAATCAGGGGTAAAATGATCACTGCAGAGAAGCTGGTGCTTACTTGGAGTCCATGCATCTCGTTTCATATTCCGCAGCCATTTCTCAAGTCTCTCTTTATCATGAAGTGGAAACCTTATTTAAAACAGTTGAGGGAGAAGACAATACTGGTTTTATTTTATTTTTTTAAATAAAGGATATCCCATTCTTCTGTACAGGGAAATCTTTCCTTACAAAAGGATTCAAACAATCCCTTTCTCTCTCTTTTTTTAAAAATAGAAAATGCTTATCGTTATGTTGCATATATGTTAATCTAGTAAACATCCAAATTATTTATAGCTCCAGAGTTCAACATCATGATTTCTACAGGCCAAGACTTCCACATATGGTCTTTAAAAAGGCTTGATCCTCCAACACTTGCTCAGAAAACAGTTCTACTGAAGTCACAGAAACACTTCATTAAAAAATGTTAAAAATGTTTTAGAATTTGTGGGGCTTTTTTGTCTCACTAGACAAAATTAGTATGAAAACTTTTGTTATTAATTTTTGTTTAACAAAATATCTCTTAATTTGTGTCATACTTCTGATTCTCTGCTAACTCAGAAACATGAATTATAAAACGAGTGCAGGATTTAAACTTTGTTCAAGAAGCAAATGCATGAGATTTAAAGCACTTCTATAGCTTGTATTTCAGCTTTCTTACAGTGTTGAGAACCCAAAACGCAGTATTGTGCAATCCACAAATAACTTTTCAACCATCTAACCTAGCTGACAAGGAAAATGAAGAGCATAAACATTTATAGAAAAAAAACCCTGATTTTAAAGGTATATGCAAATGGTCAGGCAAATCATACGAGACAGAACTAAATTAAAAAAAAAGGCAAGCAAAGACACGTAATTTACTTAGCAAATCATCATAGACAGAAATTAGAGAGAGATTAAAGGCTTATCATGATGCATGCGCAGTCAAGCAGTTACGATAACTGCAACAATATTCAGACCACTCTTAGCTCTTATCCGTTACCAGACAGACATCAGAGTATCTGAATGTGCATACTGATTTCTCCGCTGCGTATCAAGTTTCTTTCAACTCTAGCATGCAACAACATATAGTACATAAACCATAACTTGAATTCTGAACACTGTTAAATGACTACTGTTAAGAAAGCAATATACCTTAGAATTATGTGCAATGAAAAAAGCTATGCTTTTGTCTATATGAAACTGCAGGAGAGAGATTGATGTGATCAGAAATATCCAGAAGCAAACAACTGCCTACAGCCTATTTACATGAGTCATTTCCATTTCCTCCCTAAACATGAACAGATGTTCCTAACTCCATTCCTCTTCCCTTAGCACTTTTTTTCCTTTTAATTAGTAATCAGTTCTTTTGATAAGTTATTACCATACATCAATGAACATTAATAGACCACAATAACATTAATAGGCCTGCAACACACATAAAGTTTGGGTCCGTGATGAAGTATTCCCATAGAGCGGAAGCTGAGGAGAGAACCTGGCAGGAGGAGGAGCTGTGTGTCGCCAGGATTCTACAGACAGCACTTGTGAGTTGGGCAATTTGATGGTGAACCCTACATCTCGCCCTCAGTGCCCCGATACTGCAGGTTTCCTCCAAACAGCTCCACATGGCAATGACTCTTCTGCAGGCCTACAGTATTCCAAAACTGCACACTTAGATGATTTTGAGAGGATGGTACCTGAAATTCATAGGTAAATTTGAACTCTGCCCCCTTCCCGAATCTTTTGGATTATTTTGCCATTTAAGCTTTCAAGTACTAAGGGAAAACAGCAAACATTTGATGCAACTTGCTCTGAGTATGTGTTGGAATGCAAGGAATAATGCTGGAGAGAACAAGATAACCTCTCAAGGACAGGTTAGGGGTTTAGCCTTTTCAAATCCTGCCTACTTAGATAGTATGCACCCAATAGCAATGCTCCAAGTATTACACAGCACGTCCCACGAACAGCAGAGCTTGGCCTGGGATGTTACTACATACCTCCGAAGAGGCCTCTCACTGACAGGACAGCCTCTTAGAAATTGAAGGCCATGCCAGCAACTGCACCTTCCTCTTCATGAAAGACTTAAGAGTATTTGCTTCTACTGCCATTACCCTTGCAGCACAGCTCTCACTGCCTTCCCCACAGTCAGTCTACTTCAGACTGGGAAACACAGAAATTCGTAGTGAGAGACAATGTCTGGTACCCAAAGTCTTTATTTTAACTAGGCAGCGAGTTTGCCAAAACCTGCTCCTGCTCTCATATTCCCTTATTCATCATTAGAATCTGTTCTGTTTTAAGTGAGAGAAAAAACTGGAAAAAAAAAAAAATCAAAAGAGGAACTAGATAGAAGTTATTTAGGAGCAACCACCCACAGAAGTCAGAGGTGAAGAAAGACAGCAATGTAGTGCAGCTTGGCCAGCTGAAATTAGGACCTAGGGAAGGAAGTTAAGAAGGTGCCAAAAACCACAAAACAGCAGAAGATTTTCTGGGGACAGCAAGAGGGCAAGGGAATAAAAACTTATAAATCATTGCATTTCATATCAGTAGCAGTTGTTAACGTAGGGCATGAGTTCTCTGTAAAGCAAGTTTTAGCACCCCTTCCACAGGGCTAGGATACTAGTAACCCAGCCCAACTCAATGACTAAATAAAACAGCTCTGTGTTTTTGAAGTCATCTTTAACCAATGCTATTCTTTGAATGCAAATATGTAACAGCACTCAAAGTTGTTCTGATCATCCATTTGATACTCACTTTCCCTAAAGCACTACAAATAAATTATTTCCCCTCATTCTCATTATTGTTTTATGCTTATCACATATACTGCTGAATCACACATTGCAGACATGTTTATACTGGGGTAAAGAGCTTTCCTCCAACCTAAACTAAAGTCTTTTTCTAAGCAATAGTCTTCCTGAGGGTCTTCCTACACAGGCTTGCTGATCCCGGAAGAGCAATTTCCACTCAGCAATTGAACTAGATTTGCAGCTTAGTTGACAGTATAAGTTTTACCAAAATTATTTTTCTCTTTGTGAAGTTTACTCCTCAAACATTTCTGAAATGCTATAAAATTCTTTCCATTGACAAATGTTATTGTACTCTTATTCAACAGAAATACCTCAGCACGTAGGCACACTGTGCTCCTCTCAGGGTTCAGAAACACTGTCTTAAACTCACAACTGTGCGAATGGACAGCCACATAACTGCAACAGTACAGAGGTCAGGGTAGCCCTGGGGTGGTGAATAATTAATCAGGTGGCCTGCCAGTGCTAACATCAACTGCAGCTAACATCAACTGATTTTTAGCAACCAAGTTAGCTTACAACTATCTCAAATGCCTCCATACAAACCAGCAATACTTCTGCCTACAGTGTGGCCACTAATTTTAGTGGGTACATTTTTATTTTAGAAAATCAGGACGTATTTACTTTTCCATTCTATTAAGCCCTTTGTTTCCAACCTGTCAGACGCAGAAGCCGCACTCAGCTACTCCACCATTAAGCAGGGGTGCTAGCCCAGCTAAAATATCCCTTTCCAGAAAGGCTTGAAAAAAAATTGGGTAACCATCACCCTTGCTAGTTAGCTCTAACAGCTAGCCAGCCTCACGGCTGTAAGCACAAACTTTACGTTTTATTGGCATCTCTCCGGTTCTACTTGTATTAGCTCCCTCTATGCCTGTTACAGGGCTCTTCGATATGCTCCTGTTTCTCCCAGGGAAAACCCCCTCTCAGGAAGCACCCGCCAGCCTTCTGGCACCTACAATACTCATCTCTGCAGCCCTTTCTCCACACGCCTCCCCCTCCCCAAAAGGGCCTCTCCCTCCAGCCACGCCAAACCACGCACAAGCTCCAACCCTGCTACCAGCCTCGCGGGGCTACCTCCTCCTCCCCCACCCCACCCAAAACAATCTCACT